AAAAAAAAAACTCGCTGCCATGTAATAGATTCTGACTCATAGTGACCCCTTCTTGGGTTTCTGAGGTAGTAAATCTCTGTGGAAGTAGATTGCCCAGTTTTCCTCTTGAGGAGTGGCTGGTGGGTTTGAACCACCAGCCTACTGGTTAGCAGTCAAATGCCTTAGGCACACTTTTATGTGCCATTGAGTTGGCGCCGACTCAGAGTGACCCCTCCTTGGGTTTCTGAGGCAGTATCACTACAGAAGTAGATTGCCCCTAGTGGAATAATATTTTCATTTCCCTTCTCTAACAGGTTTCTACTATAGTTTTCGACTCTTGCAGGTTTTACATATGTATACGAGCTCAGACTCTAAGCTCACTGCCATTGAATTGATTCCAACTCATAGAGACCCCTGTTGGGTTTCTGAGGTGATTAATCTTTATGGAAGTAGATTGCCGCATCTTCCTTCTGCAGAGTGGCTGGTGGGTTTGAATCACCAACCTTCTGGTTACCAGTCAAATGCCTTAGGCACAATGCTACCAGAGCGCCTTACATATATATACACTAACACCTATGTAGAGAGGATAGAAAAGTGGTAAAACTGCACACCGTCAAAGGCAGAAAACTTATGAGACCCAGAGAAACAAGACAGTCCATTCGAGTTCTGGCTTGCACAGGTTTCACTGTATTGACAATGTCTATAAAGTTTTATACCAAGGTGTTAACAGTAGTATCTCTGGGAGGACGGATTAGGTAAATTTTTTATCTTACTCTTTATACTTTTCAGTATTTTCTAAACATTTTAATGGTGAGGATGTACTTTAATAATCAGAAAAGTGTAGCATGGTGACTTGAGAAAGAATTTGCTATAGAAACCTCCCTGACTAGTCACTTCCCAGAGGAATACTTGGCATGTCCATGGAAGCAGTGTTTTATCTAGTTGTCTATAACTTATAATGGGGACAGATATAGAATTGTGTCCTGCTGTGAAGTGATCTACAGATTAAAGTCCACATCCTAAAATTTACATGAGAATTCTACCTTCCCTCTCTGCCATTTCTCATATCTTAGTTTTCAGAGATCTCCACTGATAAAGGATTATGGGATTCAAAATTGTTAACTGATTAAGTAATCAGAAAATCCTCAGAAGGACCTTGCTTTGTCAGGGGAAAGACATTGTCCCCAGAGTAAAATAGACAATTTTGATTCTGTCAGTGACTTTTTATAAGGTGAGTCAGTACGAATATTCCCCAGATTATACTCTTGAAGAAAAATTGATGAGTATAGACTTTGCCACAGGTTTCATCTCCAGGGAAACTTCATCTTTCTGGATTTTATGGTGAATGAGGCTGGGAAGGATGGGGATAAATACAGGCATTAGTTCTGTTTAGACCAAGATCTTCAAAGCATGTTTTCAGTCGTTCTCCCTAGTGGTCCTGGAAAGGAATCCCATAATCCCTTGCATTGAAGTGATTCTGACTCGCAACAACCCTGTAGGACAGAGTAGAACTGCCCTATAGGGTGTCCAAGGCTATAAATCTTTGTGGAAGCAGACTTCCTCATTTCTCTCCCGAGAAGCAGCTGGTGGGTTCAAACCACAAACTTTTTGTTTAGCAGTCCAATGCTTTAACCATAGTGCCACCAGAGTGCCTTCTGGAAAGAAATAGACTTCTTTTTCCCCCTCTCTTTCATTTCATAAATGATCAAACTGAGTCACCAATAGCAGGATCAACTTGAGGTGATGTGAATCAGTGGCAGGATGCAAACAATATACTCATTTACCCAAATGTGATCCCTAGTGTTCTGTCCTCTCTCATGTGTTTTCAAGGTATGTGCTATGGAAATTTAGGGTACCTTGAGTATGTCTTTAGGGTATCTTGATTCCCTGAAAATCGTCACTGTTCATACTCTATGCCTCAGAAAGCACAGCTTGAATATTAAATCAGGATTCAGGGCATATTTCCCCGTTTGTGTAGTTTTGAGAATCACTTTTCTGGACAACACTTAAAGTGAAAGAAAGAGGGATTCGAGTTGTGTCTGATTTTCACTGGAGAACTAAGAAACTAGAATCATTTAGAAACAGGCACATTTCACTGAAATTAAAGGAGTGGTTTCAGATTCTAATGAAAAGAAGCAGGATACCCTATCTTGTCCCTGTTGCCTTTCCCTTTTTTTTTTTTGCTTACATTTGAACATTGCTTCAAAATCAGCTGTTTGCCCTTTCTGACTAAACTCTTACTTAAGTAGGTCCTACTTGACTCATTACTATGCTTTCTGAATATAGGATATATATATATATAGAATATAGGAATATATTTTATATCCCTGTGAGGAATAGCATCAGCATCATAATTTTGCTCTGGAACCCTTCCTTAACCCTTGCTAACCTGTGAGACATATAGTGCCCACCTACATTTTCTGCCGCTAGGGTTTCTGGTAGCATAGTGGCTAAGTCACTTGCCTGCTAACCAGACGGCTGGTGGTTCAAACCCACCAGCCACTCCTCGGAAGGAAGGTTGGGCAATCCTACTTCCGTAGTGATACTGCCTTGAAAACCCAAGGAGGGGTCGCTATGAGTTGGGCTGACTCGATGGCACACAACAACAACAACAACAGGGTTTTAGTGGGAAACTGCTGTCCCACTTTTAGTACATGCTGCCATCTGGTGGAAGTCTGTATAACTACATGAATCTGAAAAAACGAGCCTCATTCCACCAAAACCCACTGCCATCTTCTGGTGGCACTGTGCAGGAGAAAGATGAGGTCTATTTTCATAAAGATACAGAGTCTTGGAAACCCTATGGGGCAGTTCTACTTTGTCCTATAGGGTTGCTGAGAGTTGGAGTTGACTTGATGGCAGTGGGTTTGGTTTTTTATCCCACTAACTCCAGCACCAGACACCCCCCTTGGTACATATGTGTCCCACTAATTGTTTCAAAATCCTTGTTACCTAAAAATAACTTTTTGTTTCATTTAAAATGCTTTCCATTGGAAAACATGGTTTCAAGAAAAAATTCAAAGCAGAAAATAATTCTGTCTTGAAAGATTAAAATGTATGCAGCCTACTACGTCTACTCCTCACTTACATACCATCTCATTATCTAACATTTTACATTTACATCAATAATTAAAAAAATCTATCTTTTTACTATTTTGCTCATTAACGACATACATCTGGCAGTAATGAATGCTGAGGTCCAAAGCAAGAGAGTAACACTAGTTGTGATGTCACTAGCTTAGGTGTCAACTTGGTTGGGCCATGATTCTCAGTGGTTTGGCAGTTATGTAATGATGTAATTTAGTAGTTATGAAATGATGAAGTCATCCTCCATTTTGTGATATGATGTGGTCATTCTACATTTTTGAATAATGCTTATTTTCACATAGCGATCTGGTCTTTGGAACCTAACCATGTCAATAAGTAAGGAGTGGGTGTATTATGGTAGGTCATAAATCTGGAGACCCACTTTAGGAATTCTGGATTATCAGGAGACTTCACCTGGGTCCTATTTGTATGAGGTCCCTGCACATCTTGGGTATGACTTATGATGAGAACTTTTGGAATGCTTAGGATCAAGTTCCCTTCACCAGTGTGTTGATGGCTACATGTAGTAGCAGAGGCTAACTTATAAAACCCTATGAGCATCAACCTGGGAAAGCAGGAGCCCACCCTAAGCTAATTAAGAGCCAGTAAGCATGAGTTCAGCTGTGAGGCTAACAAAGGAGGTGGTGAGCTGTGCCACACTCATGGCGGCTTTGCCCAGTTCCCTGGAGGCTGCTGTTTAAGTCTTTTGTCAAAGATGGCGATAAGATCTGTTCAAAAGTACTTGAAGAGAAGGCATTTTGTTTTTATTTGATGGGTTGTAAAAATACCCATTTTATGGATGTACAGAATAAATCATAGCGACTTGTGGCTAAGTCAGTAGTATCTTTCATTCAATGTGTGAAGTGAAGCAGAACTTTTCAGAAGTATGTCTGATGGATAACAGTGATCCTTGCAGCTTTCTTTGGACTTGCTGAGTTAGGAGCATCTTGTCCAACCTAGAGATTGAGAGGAAATATGAAAGATATAGAATGATGCAAATGGATATTTCTTGGTGTGCCAACAAAGGAAAAACTAGGTACAAAACCCCACATAATTCCAAGTAGACTTTGTCTTTTTGCTACCTATTAATTCTAGGAAAAGTTACTGTGCTTATGCTGAGAAGGTATAAGCAAGGTGCACATATGTAGCAGAATCAACAATTGATTGGAACCTGTAACCCACTAGCAAAGTGCCCCTCAACTCCTTGTTTGACTCTTTGCCTCAAATCGGCAAGGCTTTCTGTATAAAGCTGCACTGGATCCCAGATGCAGTGATTCTACTGCATTTTTTTAATCTGGCCCAAACAATTTTGCTGTGTTTTGAAAAGAGGCCAAGATTTGGGTCTATGTAGGTGAAATATTTTTAAATTAATCCCATTCCATCCTCACCACATCTGAGTCCAAGCCTATCTGATTTTGTGTGTACTTTCTAAATGCTTGCCTGTTATGAATATATTTAGGATTCTTTGTCTATGGTTTTTCTTCCCAACTAGACTATAAGCCTGTTGAAGGGAGGGTGCTTGGCATGTAGAACGTTTTCAGTAAAATTTTGTGAAACATGAACGAACCAACAAATACCAGTGTAGGAATTAGTGAACTGGGGAAAATAACTTCTCTGAGCCTCAACTTAAGTATTAGTAAGATGTAAATACCTGACTAGGGTATTTCAAGGTTCAAATGAGGTAACCTGTATAACAATTCTACCTTACTATTATTTTATAAAATTCCTTTATAATTTAGTAGCTTATTTTGTTCATCCACAACTGTCTGTCAGTTTGTTGTATGGTAGTGGCTTACGTGTTGTTGTGAGGCTGGAGGCTGGAGGCTGTGCCACCAGTATTTCCTATATCATCAGGGTCACCCACGGTGAACAGATTTCAGAGGAATTCCAGACTAAGACATGGGGCCAGCCTTTCAGAAGGATGGGGCCATCCACTTCTGAAAAAACTGGCCAGTGAAAACCTTATAAATAGCAGTGAAACACTGTCTGATATATTATTGGAAAACTTTATGTGGTAGTTAAGACTGTTGTCAACTTGGCTGGGCCTGGTTGAGTGGCTGGGCACCTGAAGGTAGTTATTCCCCATGATGAGACTGGCAATCAGCTCTCAGAGGAATCTGCTGGGAGCAGCTGAGTAGCTGCTTTAGGGATGTGGTCTTCTTCCCATATATAAAGAGAAGCTTTGGGATTGGTCTCTATCATTTTTGGCACACTTGAATCCTGCATGTAGCCAAGTTGTTGTTCAACAGCCTGCCGTGCCCTGCTGATCTTGGGACTTCTGGACTTGAATTAGTGGCCTACTATGTTGTTTGGTAACATGGGGACTGTGTCTTTTTACTTGTTAACCTTGGGCTTGTCAGCCTCAGTAGCCAGCAGCTGTCTGGGTGAAGAAAAGCCTCCAGCTTCATTTGTCCAGCAACAGGAGGCAGTGCTGAAGCCCAAGATGAGGGGCTTTCACCCAGCCCCTAGAGCCTGGCATTTTGAACTCAGACTCAAAGCCTCCAAAATCGTAAGAGAATAAATTCCTGTTTGTTCAAGCCATTACATTTGTGGCATATTCCTGTCAGAGTGGCACTAGGTAACCAAAACACTTTATGAATAGCCATGAAACATTATCTGATATAGTGCCAGAAGATGAGACCCTCAGGTTGGAAGGCGCTCAAAAATATGACTTAGGGAAGTGCTGCCTCCCCAAAGTAGAGTGAACCACATGACGTGGATGTAGTAAAGCTTTCAGGACCTTTATTTGCTGATGGGGCATGACTCAGAAAATGGGAAGAAACAGCTGCAAATGTTCACTAATAATCAGAACATGCAATGTACGAAGTATGAATCTAGGAAAGTTGGAAGTTGTCAAAAATGAAATGGAATACATAAAGATTGATATCCTAGGTATTAGTGAGCTAAATGAACTGGTATTGGCCATTTTGAATCAGACAATCATATGATATACTATGCCAGTATGGTAGTTAAGGTTATGTGTCAACTTGGCTGGGCCTGGTTTTGAGTGGCTGGGCAGCTGGATGTAGTGATTCCCCATGATGAGACTAGTAATCACCTCCATGGTGGAATCTGCCGTGAGCAGCTCAATAGCTGCCTTAGGAATGTAGTCTGCTTCTAGTATATAAGAAGAAGCTTTGAGAACGGTCTCAGAACTTTTTGGCACATTTGGATCCTGTATTTGACTGAGTCTTCATCTCAGTGGCCTGCCATATTGTCTCCCAATCTTGAGACTGTCTCTGGACTTGAACTAGTGGCCCCCTGTGTTGCTTGATAATTTTGGGACTGTACCATCTTACTTGTCGACCTTGGGTTTTTCAGCCTCATCAGCCAGCAGCTGTCTAAGTTAAAAGAAGCTTCCTAGCTTCAGTGGGCTGGGAACAAAAGGCAGAGCTGAAGCCCGGGGTTGAGAGGCTTTTACTCAGCCCCGAGAGTGAACACTTTGAACTCGGACTTCTAGCCACCTAAACTGTAAGAGAATAAACTCTTGTTGGTTAAAGTCATACATTTGTGGTATGTTTGTTATAGCAGCACTAGAGAAAAAAAACAGAATTTGGTACCGAGAGAGTGAGATGCTGCTGTCTAACAGATTACCTAAACTGTGGAAGTGTCCCTGTGCTCAGACCACGGCAGAGACTGGCCAAGAGATGGAGGCAGCAGAGCCGAGAGACTGGCATGAGACAGCTACAGGCTTACTGGCCCACAGAGGAGAAAGCTAAATGCATTTGGGCAGGAGGCTTCCAAGCAACAGTGAACCCACTGAACACATGAAGGGGCAGGGCCATGATGGAATGCTAAGCAGCACACAGAGAACATAGATGCCCTTGACCTGTCGAGAGACCTCTAGGTAAATTGCACAATTTGACATGGTATGCTGTGTGTAGCTTCTGATCCTTGCCTTAGTGGGAGAGGAGAGAATTTCCACATGTATGCTTACCCCACCTTTTGCCATTAAGTGAAGTCTGACTACTGGCAACCCCACATGATACAGAATAGAACTGTTCCGTAGGGAGTCGTTGACTGTAATCTTTATGGAAGCAGATTTCCAGGCCTTTCTTCTGTGGCACTGCTGGGTGGATTTGTACTGCCAATATTTAGGTCAGTATGTGAGTGCAAAGCAGTTGTGTCACCCAAGGGCCTTAAAGTGATTTGCTGTTGGTTACTAATGTAAAGTTGGTTACTCAAGACTTTGTCTTTTTGGTTGGCAGTTCAGACCCACCCATTGCTGCCATGGAAGAAAAGCATGGCAGTCTGCTTTCACAAAGATTGTTGCTAGTTGCCATCGAGTCAATTCCAAGTCACGGTGATGCCAAGTGTACAGAGAAGTACTGTTCATAGGGTATTGAAGGCTGTGACCTTCTGGAAGTGCATTGCCAGACCTGTTTTCTGACTAACTGCTAGACATGCTCAAGCTGCCTGCCTTTTGGTTAAGGTTGAAGGCTTAACCATTTGTGTATAGCCAGGGAAACCTTACACAGCTCAGTTCCATTCTAACACATGGCACTGCCATGTTGTTGTTGTTATGTGCCATTGAGTCATCTCTGACTCATAGTGACCCCTCCTTGGGTTTCCGAGGAGGTATCACTATGGAAGTAGATTGCCCAACCTTCCTTCTGAGGAGCGGCTGGTGGGTTTGAACCACTACCCTTCTGGTTAGCAGTCAAGTGCTTTGAGGCACTATGCCACCAGAACTATGACAAAAGGTTAGTGTCTTAGGTAGTTTCTCTAGAAAAGCAAAACCAGTAAAACTTGGAGAGGAAGAGAAAGAGGGAGAATTTCTCTCAGGAAAATGGGTCACACAGTTATATAGAGTTTAAGTTCCTGGATCAAACGTCAAGCTGGAGGCTTTTCCTGACTCATGCAGCTGCAGGAGCCGACAAGCCTAAGATTGGCAGTCAGTATAGCAGGCTGCTTACTTCAGGTAATGATAGATCCAAGGTCAGCAGGCAAAGTGGTGCATTGTTGGCTCACAGGACAGTTGTAGAGGCTGGCAAGTCCCAAGTTTGTGGGCCTTATTTTTAAGCTGGAGGGTTTTCCTGACTCAAGGAGCTGCAGGGGATGATGAACCCAAGATCAACAGGAAGCATGACAGGATTCAGATCCAACAGAAAGTTCCTGAATTTTCCCAGGACGTCCACATATATATTGGAAGCAGGCCACTCCCCTGAGGAAACTCCCTTTCAGCTGATTGGCTGCTCAGAGTATATACATCAGATCTCATCATGTGAACAACCACACCACAACTGCTTAAACCACTCAGAATCATGGTCCAGCCAAGTTGGCACACACCCTTAACTATCACACCAGGAATGATAAATTGAAGAGGAATCAATCAAGATGTATTGATTATTACTAGTCATTGCACTGCAAAGGTTGGAAACAAAGAAGAATCACTAGTGGTTGGAAAATATGGCCTTGGTGATAGAAATGATGCCAGAAATCACATGATAGAATTTTACAAAGCCAATGACTTATTCGTTGCAAATACCTTTCTTCAACAACATAGACAGTGGCTATACACATCGACCTCACCAGATGGAACACAGAGGAATCAGATCAACAACATTGCATTCATCATCAAAAAAAGCATCTCAAGATCTAACATGAAGTACAATGCTGTCAGTGGTAGAATAATATCCACACACCTACAAGGAAGACCCTACCACTTGTCTGTGAGTTTGTCGTACTGTGGTGGCTTGCATGTTGCTGTGAGGCTGGAGTCTACGCCACCGGTATTTCAAATACCAGCAGTGTCACCCATTGTGAACAGATTTCAGCAGAGCTTCCAGACTAAGACAGACTTGGAAGAAGGAAGGGACCATCCACTTCTCAAATAGTTGGCCAGTGAAAACCTTATGAATAGCAGTGAAACAGTATCTGATATATTACTGAAAAACTTTATGAATATCTCTGAAACGTTGTCTAATATAATTGTGCCAGATGAGTCCCTCAGGTT